TATAATTCTTTGACCCATACAAGCAAATCTGAAGAAAAGAAGGCCTGTAAAAGATACAGATTGGAAAACTTTGACTGGCCGCCAGTCATTATTAAAGACACTGTATTTACAGTGTAATGCATACATACATACATGGGTTTATTAGAAACCTGAATAATTATGGGTTTATTAGAAACACAAACATTTTGTTAGGTAACATTCTGCTTTTTTTATTCCATATTCTACTTCAAAATAATCGAGTAACAAAAATCTTTTTACCTGGTAAGCAGAGCATGTATTTAGAAAATGGTATTCATCCTCCATTTCTAATTTAAAAATTGGGCAAATTCTTTCTTCAGGTTTCTTAAACCGTCTCGAATAATGCCCTGTCTCTATAGCTAATTTGTGGTTGCTTGGTCACAGTTCTGTTAGAGTTATTCTGTGTTGCGTATTGGCAACCTAATGTACAAAATAAAAAATGTAGGTAATCTTCACATTTCTAATATCTATTGTTTCGAATAACCAGTAGGTTCTCATTTTGTTGCTTTGGTTAGCATCTTTTCTAGTGTTGTTATTTATGTCACTCACTAATCTTTGTAGTTTGATATCCTTAAGTCGTTGCCTGATCATGTTTACAATTCCTACCTCTACATATTGTGCTTTCACCTAACCCTACAGGGTGTATCTGTTCCAATAAGTTATTGATTTTTTCGCTCCAGAAAGCTTTATTTTCATTCCACTTAATGTCATTGTAAGCTACACGTATTTGGGATTGCTTTCACTTTTGGTTAAGGTTGACCAGAACTGAAAGTTCCTACATTGGGCTTCAATTCTCATTGGAAACCTTTCTGTCTCAGCCCTGCACAAATTGTTATTGCAGCATTTATCACTCCCAGCAACCACTTCACGAATTATTTTGAACTTATTCTGTTGGATCCTTTTCTAATTGTCCATTACAATCAATCCCCCATACATGTACTTCGATAATTCACTCACATAAAAGAGTATGGGAGACATCAGTGCATCAAATAACTCCATTGTTAATTTTATATTATTTTTCTCTGAAGTGGTTTCCCATCTCTTTTCGTAATATTTATAGAGAGCTTTGAGTGCAACTTTCTTCAACTCTTCCCCAGCCAGATTAAATTTTCCATAAGGACTCATTATTAGTCCAAGATATTTGTAGGATTTGATGTTTTCCAGTTCATCAGCACTGTATCTGAATGAGTAGTTGTTTGAAGACTTACCACAGTTATTGAAAATCATATTTTTTGTCTTGTCTAAATTTACACTTTAATCAGCATTTTCACAGAAAGATTCCAGCTTATTAAGGATTATTTGAAGGCTTTTTGCTGATAGATACAGCTGTAGATAGATACTTCTTTTAATGAGGGTTTCACCTGATATCCACAGATAATATACGCGTGGCCCTCAACCAAAAATTAGGGATAAAAAATGAAAACTTTCATTGTATGCAAATGCACCTTGTGATGAGCATGCAATGATTGAAATGACATGCCATGTAAATAAATTTTGATCTCTGGCAATGATGTAATAATTCTCTGGAATCAAGGCCCCTTGAATTTTCGTTTATTTATACACGCGTAAAGCCTGCAACCGCAGACGTATTTCTGGTCGTCACTAACAGCTGCACTAACAAGCATAGTAAATCAGTTCAGAAACAAATACATGTTAAAAGTATTGAGGTCCATAAAGTATGACGTAAAAAACCTTTAGCGAGTAAATCCTGTTTCGTGCAGAATTAATCGCCTCTTTATTCCTCGATCTATGGCTAATCTCCAAGCAAGCTAGACTGACAGTGGCTGTAAGCGCGTTCTAGTTCTTTATGAACTATTAATGCCCCGCTATACAGGGTTTTTAACAAATTGTTTGGCCCAGGGAGCCGGGAAGTTAGCGTTGTTTTAAGACGGAGCCAATGTTAAATTCCCCGCCAAGTCGCGGGGGTCAGGAGGCCGGAGTTTCATGACGGATGAAGTTGAAGTTGAAGTTGAGCTATTAAACTTGCCTACAGATGTACATGCATGTATTGAAGCTTCAATAAAAAAGAAAGAAAAATTGTAAAGTGTGATTAAAATGACAAAAATACAGCCGTACGTACTCACCTTATAACGCACTTTTTTTCTTCCATTCGTCATTGAGCTTCTGCTTCTTTATAACCACAGGTAAAAATATCGATAAACGGAGACTGACTTCCATCTTCACTTGCGAACTCAAAGCGATCTACGAAGCTCAAGCAGTTTTCTTTTACACTGACCTCAGTTCAGATCCCATGTTTATCCCTCACATATTGTTCATTAACCTAACCGGTGAAAAAATATCAGCATAGATATGCACAAAGATCTGAAAGATCTCATCCGAACGTTCAGAAACCAAGATGGCCTCACTCGGAACGGACGATGAAAGACTGGATCCTAGCACCCACGTTTTGACGGTTTTGGCGCGAATTTCTGCACGCGGCTGCCAAACTCTCTCATTCTCTATTTTCCAATTCCCATAATGCTTTGCGTCTTGGGGGGCAAGCAGAAATCTAAGATGGCTGGCTGTGCGGACAGGTCGTCACTTGTTTCCAGCCGCCAAACTGACGTGACGTCATCTGATCTCCGGTGAACATCTTCGGTTTACGCGTCGGCTTCTTATCGTAAAAACAAATATGGCGGCCACTGTCTGGTCTAGACTGATATATGCTTGTCAGTATACCACTCAAACTAGCGAATGAAGTGAGATTATGTTTGCCAGGATTTACCTAACCGATCTACCTTGTGTTGTTTGGTTAAAAGGCAAATCTTAAGAGAAGGTAGGCCCGAGAAGGTATGATGCGAAAGCTACTATTGACATTTATAGTTTACGTTCAGAAAGTGGCAAGGAAAGACTTAAGCTTAAATTACTTTCTATCGAGCTCACTTCTAAAAGCATTCATATGGAGAGTATTCTATATAGAAAAAGATATTTCTGGTTTATCAGCTTAATTCTCAAGCGACGTCATTTTGGTGGATGGACAAGGTTCCATCTATCAAACTGACGTGACAAGTGTTGAAATTAACAAACCTCACTATCATTGTGTCGTTACAGAGTTTTCATTGAAATAGTCTATGGCATTACACGCCCAATTACTGCAGATTCTGTTAATTTTTCATTTATTTGGAGCTACATGTAATAACAAACTTACACTTTAAGTACTGACTGCATTTATTTCGCTATTAAGTTTAGTCAGGGGCACCCAACGACAATTTTTGGAAAATAATAAATATCTGTTCAGAAGACGATTTGAGATCTAGAATTTTCGGAACATTTGTTGTAAAAGTCCTTGCTTCCCTGCCTCTCCTAGGATTTTCTAACATCTAAAAAATGGTATAATTGCCAATTTTTAACTGATTTTTACGCTAAAAAGGTCATCTAGAATTTTCGGGAGCCTTTTTTCTGGCTGAAATTTTCGAAAAGGTAAGTTATAAGCGTTGACAGGCTAAACACGACTCATAAGCTCGTGATAATGTGAAACGTGACCTTGAGAGTCTGCTTGAACAGTGGTTCTCTTTCTTTTTGTCTCCCTCGCGAAGGTTACTAGCACTACACAGTGCATGACTTGTAGCATTCTAAACTTTGACTGAGTAAATCTTGTTTTTGCCGCACTAAGTCTTATGTTAAGAGGTCATGAAATAAGTTTGTTACATGCATACTGAGTAATCATTTCCTGTGGTTTATGCTTCAGTAGGTGTCCCTGATAGGATTTGATTTCACATGCAGTTGTAAAGTGTTTTATATCCTTTGACCTCTGTTTATTACGGCTGAATAAAGATTTTAGTTTTTTTGGATTTCTCCGAAATGACTGTGTCTGATTAACTACATGCATGCATGCAAGTTTCTTTGTCCGTGAATGTGATTATTTCCTGCCATATCAGTATGACTCTGGGCCTAGCTCGATAGTGTGGTTTGCAGGATTTTGAATTTCCACGGATAGTGCGATCTTCAGACTGTAGCTTAAACTAAGCTACACCAAGTTTGGAGAAATATATTGTGCGTCAGTCAAGATAATTCTCTTAGCGCTCACACAGTTCATTTAGTTTTTCTTAGCATAAGTGAGTCTTTGAACTGGAGTGCGATGTCTTGTTGTTCCTTCGTAGGTATTTACTTAAGTTTTTGCTTAACATTCGTCTATGCGACTGTTATGAATTCTTAAGCAAGACTGCAGTTTTGGAACTATAGCCTTCCTTGTCAGTTGCTACTATGCTAAAGTCTTAGGTACAGAAGATAAAGCACTATGATGGATATACTGATACCTCGTATGGCATCAACCTAAGCTTGACTTTAAGGTTTCGCCCTCTAGGAAGTATCCAGACTTGTAACTGAATACCTAAAGTCATAATTAATTTGGCCTGGTTTTCCAGTCACTAGGGAGGATCAAGGTTAACTTACAATTTTATAGAAATTGTTACTTATTCCTTCAAAATCTTGTTTGCCCACATGTACTTGAATACTTGAATGGCAAGCTGTAAAAATGATTTTCTTTGCACCCTGCTTGAATGTACAAGTCTTTATTTACATTTAGTTTCACACTTTGAGAATATTGGCCCAATGTTGATTCATCCGTACTTGTGAATGTGTCCTCAATTGCATGGATCTCTTCATGACAAAAGTCAGTCATGAAAAATTGGGGCTTCCAGCTGGCATTCCAATCATGGAAGATCCCTAGTGCTTCCTGTATGGAGGCTGTAGTTTCCCGTTGATTTATGAAAGACCCCACAACTATGTAATTTACATTTGTCTTTACCACTAGGAAAAATAGAGGGAGCTCATATCTCATTGTCTTGTAGGTTGCATTAAGCAGGGTGATCTCATTTCCGTAACAGATCATGAGTTGCTTTTGCCAGGCTGTTTGATGAGCAAACAAAAGATCATCTCACACACAATTTTGATCTGTTTCCTCATTGTTCATGCTTTCAGAAGCTGTTGATGAGGCTGATAGGGCACAGGGTCTAAAATAGAAAGAGCCTTGTGGGTTCTCTTCACCAATTTTCAATTTTCTTTTCAAGGTTTTCCTGATCAGATTTGGACAGGATTTTTTTGACTGATGCCTGATACATGTGGTTCCTGATGTCCACATCTGTTGGATAATAGCGCCTGTTTGTTGATGCTGGTGGAGATTGCCCTGGAAGTAGTTCAGTTTTTACGAATTGCCTAAGATGTCTTAACATTTTGTCCACAGTTTTCACACCTTCGGCGATGTCGATGGGCTGCAGAATGCCACCAATCTGGCTGTTTGATACATGAGGAGAAAAATTAAAATGGAATTACATGTTTGACAGAAATATTTTGACAGCCATGCTGATAGTTGTAGGCACTGCTGGTACAATGTACACTTACATGTAATGAATGAAATGTCACTTCTGTCAACAACAACATTCAAAAAACAAATTATTTGGATAGAATAGCAACAAATCAGTTGAAATAATAATTCCTAGACAATTTTGTTTATTTTTTATCAGCTTCTATTTTAGTCCTAGACACTACTTGGACCTTTTTTCATGATCATTACTTCATTTACAGACCTAGGCTATGATTGTTAACACTACATAGCATGTAGCCACCCATACACCTGTTGTACTTTGTGACCTAGCCTTTGAGTGGAAGGTCTGACTTGACTTTCTTTCACATGCCTTCTTGCCTTTTCATAGGAAAGTAATACCTGTCCGAAACTATAATTACCATAATGATTTATACATGAAAAACTAGAAGGTTTATATGAAAATGACTCAACTCTTGTCCCACCCATTCAAAGTGTTTTTCCTTAAGCCTTCAACTATTACTCAAACAAAAAGAGCCAAAAACAAAAGTTAATATTATTGTTCTCAAGTTAAGGTAGTGTCCCAGTTCTTTCCATTGACATCAACAGACCTCTCCAGTGATGTGATCTTTGTGTTCATCCTCCTTTGGTAATTGGATATAAATTCTGCGTTCCACTTGGGGTTTCTGTCCGCTGGTTATATCAGTCTTCAGCTTTTTGGACATGTCCCTTCTTAGTCTTTCTGTGTCATCCCTGATCTAATAGAGTTAAAAGACAGTAATAAGTTATGAAATGAAGGGATGTATTTTACTGAGCGGAAGTATAATGTCAATTGGTATTATCACTATTGTGATGGTGGTTTTGTACCTTGTAATTGCAATACTTTATGACTTTTGATAAACAAATACTTGCAGGGCAGCCAAACTTCATTGTGTCTTGAGGTAGAAACCTCCTCCTTTTGAATGAGTGATCATCAACCTGTAGTTAGAAGATTAATATTATAGATTCCTTACAGTTTAGTGCTAAAAGCACCAAAAAGGCTGTGGCTGTGAAATAAAAATGCAGATATTTTTTAGTCATAACCAACATACCTTCTCTTCAGAATGTCTCGCTTTAAATGACTTTTTCCTGTCTGGTCCATGTTGGCAGTCAAATACCTTGGTGCCAATTATACTGAATGGTACTCCATCAAATGGAATTTTGTCATCTTTGAAATAGACTTTTCTTTGCTTGGCAAAGGGATCTGTGTCATAGAAACAAGGAAAGTCTGTATTATGTTTATTAGGGCTGTACTCTAGCAGTCCTCAGAGGCCCCTGGTGACTTACTGTTGCTTTTCGGCAAGAAAGCAATCTTAGTTTTTGCCCAAAATTACTATGCTGGGCAGCCAGAATGTCAAAGGGTTAGTGTTTTGGGCTCCCCAAATTTTTTTTCTTAGAGCATAGCCTTGTTTATTATAATTTTGAATGTAACCTGGTATGCAACCTACCCCACAGTCAAGCCAATGTATTACATGCCCCTTTGCAGATAGTACTCAGTCAACCATAGATTTAAAGATACCGTAAAATTCCGAAAATAAGCCCCTCCGTGTATAAGCCCCTCCAAATATAAGCCCCCCAAACTGGTAACGCAAAAAACCCTCTGTAAAATCGCCCCTCCAAATATAAGCCCCCCGGGGGCTTTTACTTGGAAAATTGCCCTCAAATACAAAATAAAACAAAGCAAAAACGGTAATTTACCTCCAACTATAAGGCTAGCCCAATCGATTTTGAAACGCAAATTTCCCTCCCGTATATAAGCCCCTCCGAATATAAGCCCCTCAAAAAGGGCTTTTCAAAAATATACGCCCCGGGCCTTATTTTCGGAATTTTACGGTATTTCATGTCTTTGATTCATAAATTGTTCATGCCATGAATACTACTGTGTTTAGAATATGCACATTCTACTCCAGCATATTTCCCCCACCCCCCCAACAAAAGAAAAATTTCTAAGATCACAGCATTGTTTATTATAATCTTTTGATTGTAATCTGGCGTGCAAGCTACACCACATTCTACTCCAGCATTCTTAACCCTATTATGTTACACTGCACTGCTAAAATCATAGCTGCTGATAGCCAATCAGATTCAAGAATTTTTTTATGACCGACTTATTGTTTATGCACTTATCAACTGAAATCCCCCCTCCCCCACCCCCAGGACAGGGTGGGGATTTGACTTCATGTCAACTACAATGGTGATTAACCCGCATGAGGGGGCACTTAAACTTTTAAAGCCCCCACCTACAGTCCTGTAGGAGAAAACTAAAACATGGCAAATCTTGAGAAATCCCCAGCCCCCAACGGCAAAACATGCTGTCAAATTTTATCAAACACCCTTTGTTCCCCCACCTTGGCCCGGGGGTTGGGGGGGGGGGGGGGCTTTCAGTTGATAAGTGCATAATTATTTTGTTGCTTCATAATTATCTTACCTCCAGCACCAAACATTTTGTCTGATTTAAAACAAGAGAATTTTGTTGTTGTTTCCAGTTCATATTGTCTTATTACAGTCATGGCTTCCTCAACTGATCCAACATAGCCAACAAACTTGTTCGTTGATCCTCTTAACTTGGCTTGCCAAGTACATACAGTAGCACTGTCTTTCTCACTTTCTAAATATATGCCTTCAGCTGTGCCGCTACCTTCTTGGGCATTTGCTGGCAAAGCCATAACAAACGACTTTTGCTGAGTACTATAAACCGAGCAGTCAACTTCCAGATCTCATACACCCGGAAACTTTATTATTTTCCTTTCGAAAATGCCCGCCAAACAACAATGCTTAGCGGGAAAATCTTCGGAATTCAGCTGAGACAGGTTTTTGGTACATTATCGTCAATTTTCGTGTGCGTTCGCCTGTTATTGAACGTCAGTTTCATGGATGGAAAGATACGCTATCTGTCACGCCATCCATCAAACTGACGTTCTCCACTGTGGCAAGCTTTAAGGGTATAAAATAGCTTTACCCTTGTCCAATTTACCCTTATTTTTCAAAGGTTTATTGAAAAAAATCAGGACCCTGCTTTATGTGCACAGAAAAACACAAATAATCTGCTGGACACACGTGGACCCACAAAAGATCATCCGCCATATTAGTTTTTACGATAGGAAGCCGGCGAGTAAACCGAAGATGTTCGCCGGAGATCAGATGACGTCACGTCAGTTTGGCGGATGGAAACAAGTGACGACCGTGCGGACAACTGAGAGCGCCATGGGTAAAAATATGTTGTGCGCCTAAGTGTTCTAATAGAAGGAATCGAAAAGAAAATATCCAGTTCTACCGAATTCCTACAGACAAAGAGTTACGGAAAATATGGCTGCTTCGTATAAGACGAAAACAGTTTAAACCAACTGCTAACACTCGTTTGTGTTCAGAGCATTTTGTTGGAGGTCGTCGATCAATGAACCCGAGCAGTGCTTCCTACTTTCCCTCTGTATTTTGCCATAGCCATAACAAGAGCAATAGAAGAAGAAACACACTAAGAAGTCGAAGTGCCATTCCAAATGATCAAGAAGGTGACCACAAGCCGAAAATAATACGAAAGCTTAAGATGGTATGTCAATTTTATTACTATATGGTGTTTCGAGGGTTAATTTTTTTTAAAATCGATTATCATCCTTTTATCTTGGCGAAAAATTTTTTTTGGGAGCTTCGTGATATGACAACAACGAATAATAATGATTTCTCGTTTTATCTTTTCCGTAATCGATATTTAAACATGTTAGTTTTCATTCAGATTTCTGGGAAATATCCACAACTAACAAGTTCCCGTAAGCCATAAAAAAAATTTGAATTTTTATCACAAGAGTAATACAAGAAATTCTAATAGCCTCAATTTATTTAAGAAGCTTTTGTAAACTATTTTATTCAATTTTAATATTTTATTAACTCTATCTTAGGATTTTACTGTAACTCTCTACTTTTTAACTTTTTTTAGATTTAATAATTTTTTAGCTATTGTATATTTTATAATTTCTACTCAGGACCAGCCTGAAAACCACCTGAGGGTGAGGTTGCCTCCTGGCTAAAGATATTTATTTATTTATTTGTTAAAGCCCATGTCTTCCTAGTTTGAATGTTGCATATCGTGTTGTGTTAAACCAGCAGGTAAATTGAGGTTGAAAAATGCTGTATAATTGTCCTTTTTGCTAACTTTTTTTCCCTTTCTATTCTACTGTTTCAGGGTCAATCACAAAGGGGTAGACCAGAGACAAAGTTTGAAATACCAGTAGAATCAACAGTTTGGGGAGAGTGTTTGCCAGAATCCAGTGCCCTGAAGGGTCATGATTATCTGAAATGTCAGGTGGATCCACAATCACAACAATTTTCTGAGCTATACCCAGCGGAATGTAATGAATTACAAGAACTTTATACCAAAAGTGCACAGCTCGAAGTTTAAAATTATAAACTCAGAGAGCGTTGTATTTCATTGGACCAAATAAAACAATCGTCTGAGTCATGCCCGTTTTGGACTGGATTCCCGAATTATGGTACATTTAAAGCACTTTTTGACTTCCTTGACGAGGCTGCCCAGCTGAAAACAAATTGGAGAGGACAGGCCACAGTTCAAAGCAGGCACTTTTCTGAAGCATACAAGTCGAAACCTGGGCCAACTTCCAAAAATTCCACTGAAGAGGAATTTTTAATGGTTATGATGAGATTAAGGGCTGGACTCCCTTTAAGGGATTTAGGCCAACGATTTGGACTTTCTGTGTCCTCAGTATCAAAGATATGCACTGCTTGGATTAATTTGATGTACTTTGAGCTAAAGAAATTGTGCCAAATGCCAGAATGGGATCAAACTGTGAATGCAAAACAGTTTTCTCAGTTTCCTCATTTGCGAATTATACTTGATTGTACTGAGATCTTTTGTGAAAAGCCATCATCACTACAGGCAAACAAGGAGGTTTACAGCAATTACAAAAGCCATACCACTTTCAAGTATTTGGTTGGCATAAGTCCCCATCCAGCTGTGGTCTATGTTTCAAAGGCATGGGGTGGTCGTGCCTCAGATAAAAGGATAACTCAAACAAGTACTGATTTGCTTGACAAACTGAAACCAAATGATGAGGTCATGGCCGACAGAGGCTTTGAAATCGAAGGCACACTGACTACACTTGGGGTTAAGCTCACCATTCCAGATTTCAAGGGTCAGGGAAGAGCTCAGCTGAGCGAGTCGGAAGGAAAGCGTTCTGGAAAGATCGCTGAAGCTCGAATTCATGTTGAGCGTGCAATTCAGAGAATTAAATGCTACCATATTTTAGACCGTGAACTTCGTTTAACTATGGCATCATTAGCTGATCAAATTTTTACTGTTTGTGCATATCTTGTTAACTTTCAAACACCATTTCTTAGGTAAGATTGAACTTTGTGGGCACATTTCGTGTAGATGAGCAATATTTCTCCAGATCTTATAGCATTATATTTTTCTTTACAATATAATGGCAAGAATTCAAATACAAGTAAAAAAGAAAAAATATTTATACATAATATAAATATGTGAAAAGAGAAAGAATGGGGGCCATTAGGAGATCTATAAAAGTCAACAAACCCCATGCTGTGATAGACCACCGTAAAATACATTATAGTAGGAACGCAGCTTTTTTCTTTTGGAAATCCACAAATCTGATTGGTTCTCCCACTGTTGACTATTAGCTCATAGAACACAATTGCCTGCGTGCTGCTCTTTGATAGGAAAATTTTTCTTGATTTGTGGCTTTATATAAAAGTACATAAAATTGAAGGTTTTGGAATGCAATCCTTTGGAGTTTTTACTAATTAACTATTAGACTACTTGCCCTAGTTTTCTTTGAGTGATTATCAACTTGGCTGCGCCTTGTTGACTATTCGCTCATAGAAAACTGAGGCTCCTAGTCTAATTAGCCATTCTAAATGAGCAGGGGACTGGGTACAAATATTCAATATCGATTGAATTGAAAAATAGAGCTCGCCATCTGAAAGAACATCCAAAAGTTAGTAAATTTACTAAATTTGAGAGTTATTGGTTTAAACGCAAAGGCATGGTTCACTTCTTAAAATTGCTAACATAAGAGAGCTTGGTATGGATTGAAGGCACAGCTGTCCCTCCACCATGCCTTTGAGTTTGAACCAATAACTCTCAAATTTGGCACATTTACTAACTATTGGATGCTCTTTCAGATGACGAGCTCCTTTTGTCAAATCAATCGACATTGAATATTCGTACCCAGTCCCCTGCTCGTTTATATTGACAATTAACACTTATCGAAAAATATGTAGGTGTACAAAGAAAGAATGACACAAAACAAATATTTAATTTATTCCCACTAAAAACTTGGCAAGTGATATTGTAAGATAGGATCAAGGTTTTAAGAGTGTTTATCAGAAACAGTGGCGTTTGGCACAAACATCTTCAAAATGGGGATGTAAATACCTTAAACTTAGAAAACAACATTACTGCAATTTTACTCATGTTAAAAATGAATGGTTTGTATTTCAAATTTCAAGCCTCATCGAGAATCTAGTGAAAACAGTAACATTTCAGTGTTTGGTAATATTAAATGAACATTTTGTGGATGTTGCCTGAAGTCTGACTCTTTTATGCCTCAACTTCTGCCAACGGACAGTCACGTTACATAGTATTTGAAGTTAGATCTGGCTCAAAGATGTGTAAGTGATGCCTAATTTTCCTAAACGGTCAAGTCCATACTTGACCCTGGGATATGCCATTTCTAACAGCATGCAATCATAAAAGAAACCTTGCAGCCGAGGCAAGTTCTTTTCCCAGAAAGCTTTATCATATTTCACAGTGTCAATATACATGGAATCACCATCTGAAGCCACAAAGTCTTCAACTTTCCTTCCTGAACAAAAAAGTTGTTGTTGTACCTGGTAATAATAGGAGTGGGTTGGATTTAGTATCAGCTGCCCTTTACCATTCTTCTTGCAGATACGCCTCCTAACAAGAGACTCCAATAAACCTTCATTGTCCTTTGGGTGGACTTTCTTCACCTCAACTAATTTATCATCCCCAATTAGTCCATTTGGAGAAGCAGCAAGGAATGGATGGGTTTTAGAAATAAAAAGGCCACTCTTGTGAACTTCCACATTTGTTTCCTTAGAGTATTTTTCAATAATAGCTGGTTCTGATTCAATTCCATCCTTCATTAAGTCTGTTGATACTTGGTTCTTATATTGCAGGATGTCAGAAAGAGCTTTTTTGGGACTTGTCCCTTTTTGCACCAAAGCTCTCTTGCATTTTGATGCAGTAATCCGTGGAGCTCGATGATCAAACCACAACTGACAGTTTGATTGCTCGCGGGTGCCCCTTTCAACCGATTCAACTTCTTCTTTGGTGATAAAAAGTTTTTTCTTTATTCTTTCTGCCCGATCTTTTATCTCAGTTAAAGAAACAGGCTGCTGTTTAGGTGGACTTATGATGCTATCAATGGCACTAGATTTGTGAGCTTTGGAACATTGGCCAAGATAGTTAACAGCACTAGCCTGAGTGTGTACTGGTAACTCAATTTTTGTACTGGTTTCAACTTCGACCTCTAATGCATGTGCCAAGTCAATATCCTGCATTTCATGACTTAGTTCCTGAGAACTTTGCTGGACTGATTCCAGTTCATTTGGCAGTTTTCCAGTTATCAAGTGAAATACAGGTGGTAGGGAGGAGCGTTCGTTTGCAATTAGAAGGTCATTCTTAAGTTTTATCTTTCTTTCAAAGTCCGTATCCTCTTCAAAAGTAAAAGAGTATTTTCTTTCAGCAACTGAAGGTGAAGGCTTGAATTTCTTTTTTGGAGGTTCCTTGCCAAATTTCGCTTTATAAATGTTTATGTCTTCAGCAAATTTTGGATCACAATGTGACCCTTTAGGCTCTGCCCATGGACATGGAATGTCAGTACAAGCTGGATCTGCTGGAAGTTCAGTGAGACCTTCGGCAACAATTTCACACAAAACATACAACAAAGCACCCACATGGGCACAGTCTTTCCGTAGTCCTACAGTGCATGTACAGTGGCCAAAACACGGCTTTCCATTGTCAGTAAGAACAACATGGACTGACTTTACATCATCAGCGTTCGTAGAGAACGAAGGATTGCAAAATGCTTTAACTGCACAAACACCATCCAAGCCTGGGAGTTGATTGAATCTAAAGACAATGAAAAAATAAATATTGAACTAAAGATCTATCAAACTAAAAAATAAAAACTAAAAAGAATGAGCGACTCATTGGCAGCAGAAAGAAAAATTGTAGGACCAGGTGCATGAGACCAGATGATATTTGTTAAATATTAAGCTATGATGATACACTTTAAAAGATCTATCAATCTTTATAATATTTAGCAACACACACAACATTTTGTAAATTTAAAGACAAATGCCTCTGTGAATAGAGGCATTGCAAAGAAAAAGGCCAAAAATGTATTTCAAAGTCGGATTTACCTCACAGAATGAATCCCTCTTTTGTGATCCCAAGCTCGATTTGTTTTGTACTTGACAACTTGATCCTGAGTGAAGCCCTCACCTAGCAAATAATTTCCAACAGCCCGCGTGTCCAGTTGTGAAGGGAATCCTTGTAAAGACTTGACCCAGCCTTTCAAATGCTGCAAATACGCGGGTGTAATCTTCAGGCATGCTGGTACCTCCACATCACCACTTGTAAACAGCATATCCGCGTTGGAGTCTCGAGCATTAGGCTTTGAGCAACTCGTTGGGATTTTTAATGAATTGCAAACAATATTTATCAACGCATTCTTCCCAAGCTTTTCCGAAGGAAGCTCCAATATCTTGCAAATCTTTCGGAGTTCATTTTTGTTTTTCTTTGCAACTGAAGAGTATGAATTTAATTCAGGAAATGTTTTCACGAATTCATCCGCCATCTTGGATTTTTGCTTGCCCCCCAAGACGCAAAGCATTATGGGGAATTGGAAAATAGAGAAAATACGTTCAAAGAACAAGAACAAGACTTTTATTTTCCCTTCATCGATTTGTAATCCTTTTCTTCGATGAAGATTTCATTTAATAATCAGAGACTGGCTGAAAAGGTAAGTGCTTTGACTCTTTTGTACAAAGATGTCGATGCTTGTGAGGTTTAGAAAGGAACTACATTTTTTAGTTTCTTCTCCCGATCTGCTTCTTCTTCTTCTTTTTTTTTTACTAAACAGATCGTGCGTTCATTTGAAGTTGAACTATTAAGCTTGATTGTTTTAGGCCTGTTTCAAAAGTCGTGCTACTGCCGTGATAAGCTGACTCGACTGTAGCTCGACTGCACGACACTAACACGACTTGGTTTCAGACATCGAATTTAATTCAGTCGAATAGAACGGCTGTTGCCGAAAACAAAACACAAAAAATAAGGAAACGGTTTAGGAAACTTTTAAATGTATTCTAATGTATTTATAATTTATGAATTGAGTTCGGCACGGCAGTGGCGCGACGTTTGAACTATGTTTGAAACAAAGTCGAGCTACTGCCGTGTAGCACCGCAAAGCTTGCCGTGCTACACGGCAGTAGCACGACTTGGTTTCAAACGTCGCGCTACTGCCGTACTAAAGTCGAATTTAACTCGATCAATTTAGTTCGGCACGGCAGTAGCACGACGTTTGAAACGGGCTTTAAACAGCAACAAAGCAGCAAAGTTCTTGTAATGACCACAATTCAGTTTAAGGTCCATAACATTTGGCAGGATTGATAGAAAATTCCTCTTTTGTAGTTACTTTCCTACATGTTGTTTGGAGTATCTTGTAGTGTTTTCATAGCTTGATCTCCGAGCGAGTAAGGCATAGTATTGATTAATTACAAAATTTGGACTAAAATAACCTTGGATTAAAAGTAGCAGAATTAATTTTCGAGAAACTGAGCGCAGCATTTTAACGCTTTTGGCACAGCTATAGGCTGTTGAGACTCTGTTGATGGAGTAATTGTGATCCAACAAATCTACCTTTATTCACCTCATGTAATCTAAGAGGGTCTTGGATTCTGGATTCTGGATTCCAGGTACTAGATTCCAGTCTTTGTCAGTGGAACTTGGAAGACTGGAATGATTCTAAACGTTGGTGGGATTCCAGATTCCTTGAGCTCCATTTTCGGGATTCTAAGGCCAAGGATTCCGGATTCCACAAACAAAATGTTCTCTGATTCTGGATTCTACAAGCAAAAAGATTCTCTTACATGGCGTGAGTTTTTAATAACCTAGTGATTTAATAAAATAATCATTGTTTTGGATACATGCCCTCATGGTATTAAAACTTCACCTTTCCATCTAATAGTAACAGTACAGTATTCAGTGCCGTAGCCAGACCAAACGGCCAACCGAGGCAGGCGGGAGTTGCTAGAGGGGTTCAGGGAAATGCCCCCCCCCCCCCCCCCCCCCCC